TGCAATGTCTCATGGTCTCATGCAATGTAACCCATTGACAAGGACCCTCATACACAAAACGAACCCCTTGGCCATACCAATAAAAAGGGTGCAGCCATCAAATCGCCTCCCCTAACTTGGAGGCACCATTCAATGTGCTGATATATATGAATTTTTTACCAGGACACACAAATGACCTCTGGGCCTGTTTGTTTCTGTTAGATTTCTCTAAATGGCAAACCATTTTGGGATGAGGCTAAATGCAACGTTCTCTATTGACAGCTTAACTTCCAGAGAAGATGTTTAACCATGGACATCACTTAGTTTTTTTTTTTTTTTGGATCAATAGTCAAAGATGTTCGGACTAATTTATGCACACCTCGATTAATCTCCTCTTAGGTCTGGTTAAAGGCAAGTCATCCTCCTTAGAACTAAGTTATGCACGACAAATCCCTCGTGGTCTGGCTTTAAGCAATTGTCAAGATTTAAACTAATGATATTTTAGTTTACAGCTCGTCCCTATTTCTTTTGAGCTATCTTAGGGTTGGACCAGAAAGNGTTGTCCGGACTAATTTATGCACACCTCGATTAATCTCCTCTTAAGTCTGGTTAAAGACAAGTCATTCTCCTTAGAACTAAGTTATGCACGACAAATTCCTCATGGTATGGCTTTAAGCAATTGTCAAGATTTAAACTCATGATATCTTAGTTTACAGCTCGTCCCTATTTCTTTTGAGCTATCTTAGGGTTGGACCAGAAAGAGATGGAAATATTGTATGCCATTGTTTTGCTGGAACCGACAATGCTACTAAAAGTTTGAATATTCCAGTAACAAAATTATCCTCGCTTATGGAAACTACCATTATCTCGTAAAACTATTTTCTTGGAACTCACATGGCTTGATTCAGTGGCTGAACAAGACGCAAGATGCAAGTGCAGATGTCTAAGTTTAAGTTCTATTAATTATCCTAAAGATCTTAGTTCTTCCAATGTAAATCATTTGTGAGTGATTGCGTGCGTCTATGGCTAACGTTGCAATTATGAGTCCAAAGAACACATAGTTGAAACCATTTTTTGTTACCACCCAAAAAAAAAAAATGTTTTCCTTACATATTTTTACACCACATATTGCATAATGTTGGTGGCTTTTACCAGCCAAACCATCTTATAGTTGTTAATTACCGATACTGTTTTTTTAAGAACAGTTGTCGTTATTGTTTGTCACAACATGCATGTTGACAAAAATTGGAAACCAAGAGGGAAAATTCCAAAGTAATCACTAACAAACCATTACCCCTGCTTCAAACTAGTTTTCAACTCATTCCAAGTTACCTTTTTTTTTTTCAACATTCAGAGGTATTTTAGTCAACTTACGCGTACTTCGACTAATAATCTCTTTAGTCTGGTTAAAGACAGACCATTCACACCCACACTAGGGTATTCGCGAGGAATTATCCCTCATGGCCTGATATCAAAGAGTTGTCAAATTGCTGACTTTTATTACTAATGAAAATCAACTAGGAATTAGAAACTATAATATCCTGACCTTTCTCAAACATGCATGCATACATAAATACATACGCGCACATACATACATACATACATGTGTGTGTGTGCGCGCATCAAATTGTTTGGGCAACCTTTATAATAATATTATGGGTAATTTGTGCCTAAAGACAGAGTACAACGTAACTGAGAAGTGATAAATTTTTTGAAAGATGTGAGCAAATTTAATGTGAATGGTTTTAAAAAGGATGTTGGTAGCCGTTGAATGAGTTTATTTGAGACCGTCAAATAGGTTTATTGAAATCTGTCTTGTTTTATATTATAGATTATAGATATATATGGATTTCAGTAAACACAGTGATTTTAGCACTGTAGTTGTGTAAGCAACAGTTGCATTTCCAAGAGAAGGCTGTAGAGGAGGGTTGCCAGTGAGTGCACATAAACCTTATTGCTTAGATTATGCTTCTTTCTTTTAAAGCAGATCCTTCTTTAATGACCGAGTACCATTATAAGGCACTATTTAGACGTGTGGCTATTATCGGAAATCTTAACCATGTGCATTGGGTTAATATCAGAAGTCAAGACTGTCTCTTCAAGACTCGAATTTGAAATCTTGAGGCATTCATCACTGAAATCTCGCAAATGCTAACTCAAAAACCAACCCAAATGCAATTGGTGACTAATGTTCAGTACCCTAATCACCATTGTTTATAAATTTTAGAACATTCAGATTTTAGGGCTTCTAGGCTCAAGGACAATATGTACAAACTGGAAAGATACAAAGTACTAAAGACAAAGTGGTGAGGTGGGGCCAAAAGAAGTCCACCAGCGTTGAAAAACACTTGTTTCCGTAAGTTTTAATGGTTTAGAGCTGGCCATGAGATGATACAAATTGTTCATTATATTCTGGCCAACATAGTAGTTGGGAGCTTGGCCAATTCATCTTTCAACCACTTAGTGCTATGTATATGCAATGTTTACTTGCTTTATTCCCAGCATTGATTTCAAATATTCTTTAAACGACATAGTTTTTTTCTTTCATTGTCACTTACCCTTGTACTGTTGAACTGGTTGCCCCAATGGAACGTATCAGCACCTACCTGTTAGAGTAAAATAAATGTTCTTAAAAAACAGATTTTGCCGATATATCATCCAACCTCTCTTTGTTTTTTTTTTTTTTTTGGTATAAGAACTTTCCTTTTTAAGAGTAATATTATTGAGATTTAATTTATTGACCCAATTTATTATAATTATTAAATTTATTGTGAATCCCAGTAAATATTTAAATTTGATGTTAATCCAATGGTTACAATAAAACTACATCATTAGGTTAATAAATTATGTCAAATTTTAGATGTCAATAACGTTACTCTTCTTTTAAACTGTGGATTATGGCTTTGTATGTAATTTGTAAGTCTCAAAGACTGTCCAAACTATGGTAAATCTTTGTGGATTAAGGTTATTTCATGTTAGTTTAACAGTTCTCTGATGGAAGAAGAAGATTGCTGAATACTTCAAATTAAGCACATTGCTTAGTCCTGCGCCGTCCTTTAGAGACGATATTTGCCCAGAGGCGGCCCTCCTTCAAATTTCTAACTCAAAATTTTCAAATAAAAATTGTGTTAATCAAAGTCAAATACGGAAATCAAATACAATAATACATACTATTTGTTTAAGGTAAAAGAGAAATATAATTGAAAATTAGGTTGACTAGTAAAATAATTTTTTTATAAATGTATATAGAAGTATAGGAATTTATATAAGTTGATATTGTTAGATATCATAGAGAAAAAGAGTAATTTTTAAATAAAAAATTTTAGTAAGACAACAATGGTTAATTAATTTAAGATGACTAGTGTATTACTTCTACTCACTCTATTTTATAATCATATTGTATATCGTAAACAAAGTTATTAATAAATGACTTCAAATTTAAATTACACAAATATAAAATTATTATTCATACTTATTATACGATAGATAATTGATTTTAATAATAAAATTGCAAAGTGATAATACATATAATATAAAAATCGGCTGAGATAAAAAAAAAAAAAAAAAACTGAACTGAACTTTAGGGCCCTAAATTTTTTTAAAAGAGGTTCTAAAAATTTTACAATAATGTTAGTTGCACTTAATTTGATAACTAAGTACATTAGAAAAATAGTGAATTCATTTAAACTTAGCACTCACTATTAATTCAATAATTAAAATATATTAAGTATTTAAATTATATTCTAAAATAATAATTATTTATTTTATTTTGGGATCCCAAATTTTCTTTTAATTTGAGGGTCCTAGGCAATGACCTTAGTGACCTAAACGTTGGGCCGGTACTGTATTTGCCCCAACCTATGCTAACATGAAAGGGTACACCATATCGAATGCTTTGCTTTTGCATGCATGCCAGTGCATGCATACCCTTTACTCTTTTGCACGTAAGCATCTTAGTGATGAAAATTGATTTTTTTTTTTTTCTGTTATCACTTATCGGACAATTGATATCATATACACATATGATTGGATGATAGATATCATGTCCTTACATACTATATGTATGTTATTTTGAAAATGCTCCGAAAGGTACTTCTTTCGCCTTTGCCTTGTATGTTTAATTTTATTTAATTTGTTTAACTGCGACATTGCAGCTAGCTTATCAATGTTTTCACATGCTTTTTGGATCATTATCTAGTGCAGTAAAATGTGCTAGGGCTAAAAATTGAAAAGGGTATAGATTCAAATTTGAAAACATTTACTTTTATAATTGTTAAATCGCTCATTATATCTGTATCGTTTCGCCCCTCGTAGCACTCTTAATTAACAAGAGTGATGGTAAATTAATGCACCCTAAATATGTATTTTAGTATCATATCTAAAAACTTAAAGTTTTTAGAGAGACAATAACTTACGCATACATTTTGTACCTCCACACGCCTTCTCACGTGGAAGTTAAATTTTAGCCAAGCATACGCAAATTATTATTTTTTAATTATCAAAGTGGTGATTAAATTCAGTGGCATGACGTTATCATATTAAACTAATATCTCATCTAAAAGCTTAAGGTTTTTAGAGACAGTAGAACCTAAGCATTTATCTACTTCAACGATATGACACTAATGTTTTGAAGTAGATCAGAACCAAAATCAAGGAAAATGTTATTTGAATCTAATTTGTGGACCTAACATACTATAGTTGTTTGATTGAAATTGACCTCCATCTAATATTGAAACTCACAATTAATTCAATTATTGTATTGAATTATGTCCCAATTAAATCTCTATAGGATTGTTCCAAAATGATAAATGCCTTAAGGTACTTCCAGTGGTTCAGAATCAGTATCAGTAAAATTATTTGAATGCACAAGAGATTTAATTCTACAGTGTGACTGCTCTTCATTAATACCAACCACCATCTCAGGCTTGGGCCCCTATATTTACTATCCCCTGCAATATTTATACATTGCTTTGCCATCTTATCTCCATACTCATCTCTTTTTCTGTCAAGTGTTTGCTTCAATGGCTCTCTTTAAGGTGATAATTGCAATCTTCTTCACTTTGGCTCTCGCCAACTTTCAGCTTTCTTCATGCCATGTGCTAAAGGGTTCAGTCACTTGCCTAGACTGTGATGGTCACTTTGATCTCTCAGGTTCGTCCCATCTCTTATTATTTTATTTTTTCGGAAATTAGAAGTTTCATCGACAGGAATAAAACTTACTATTTATGAGAACGAAGAGTCTCAAAGTTGAGTAACGAAACAAAGCTTAGTCAATGCATATAGCACACAAAGGGTTTTGGAATCAATTTCCAAAGTACCCTTTTTGTTCCATAACTTTATTTCTCAAATTATCTTTGTTTCTGTAAAAGTGTGAATGTAATCTACACTTTTTTTGCATTTTTCAATGTGTGTTTGCACGGTTTCAAAAGCTTTGAAAGATTAAACGCACACTTTCATGTAAACTATGGTAGATCAGTAAATAAGTTAAAAATCATTGTACAGATAGATATAAGTATAAAAAGAATGATAATTTTGGAGAAAACTCGAAGGTTTTCATTCACTTCTTCAATTTTATCCTCCACAGGCATTAAGGTTCAAGTGAAGTGCGGCCAAAGGACCAGGCTTGCCATGGCAACAACAGAAGCAGATGGCTCATTCCAGACCGACCTTCCGGTTGAGTCTCCGACATCACCGGCTTCATTCGACTGCCTTGCCAGGATACTAGGTGGTCCAAACCAGCTCTACACTTCTAGGAAAGACATGGTGACCACCATTGTTAAATCCCAAGAATCTGATCAGTCTTGCACTATCTCCAAGCCTCTTAGCTTCTATGCATCATGCCCTAAGGATGGAAAATGTGCAGCCAAAGGATCTGAGTTTGGGTCATCCAAGACCATTGATCTGCCTCTACCAAAAGAGTGGGGAATGGCACCATCTAGCTATTATATTCCTTTCTTACCCATCATAGGCATACCCTAAGTTGTTGTACTAAAATGTACTGTTTAATTAGTGTATTGTTGTGAGAAATCCTTATTTGGTTTTGTGTGTGTAGAATATCAATTAAACTGAAGCACTACTTCCCTCCATATATATATACCTTGATTATGGTAGAGATGTCATGTGAGGTATATATGAGCTATATGTATAGAAGAAACAAAGATTAATAGGTCTTTGTTCACCTATGATCTAATATGAAAAATGTTATGTAGTTTGTGTTCCTCGGTCTCTCTCTCTCTCTCTCTCTCTCTCTCTCTCTCTCTCTCTCTCTCACACACACACACACACATTATGGGCCCATAACGTACTGGTTTGATTTTTGATCAAGTATGTGAAAGTATTATAATTATCAGGACGACTATAAAATTCAAACGCGAGACTTATAATTGATACATGTGAAATTATTAACTCAATGACTTGATTATTTTTACAAGTAGCTGCTGGAATCCTGTGTGTAGAGAATACGGGGAACCAATAGGAGAAAATGAGAGTGCAAAGAGAAGATAATTTTATAAAAAAAATAAATTAAAGAATTACGCTACTATAAAAGGACATGGCAAAGTGACGTTTCCCCACAAATTTTTTAAAAAAAATTGATTATTATGCTTTGCCTCCCTAAATTATGGCATTTATCTCACTTTGGCCCTCAACTTTTGAATTTGTCATATTGCTCCCACTACTATTTGAATTTTTTTCACTCTATACAATACTCAAACGTTTATTGTTTTTTAGATAAAAAATATCAACGTCTGAGGATAAAGTGAAACAAAATTACATAATTTGGTTGGCAAAGTGAAATAATTTTCCTTAAAATTTCGAAAGGGCGTTAATCATTAAGACAATGTAAAACTAATAATTATAGTTGAAAGTGCAAGAAGAGAAACCAGATAGTTGAGTTTAGAGGGTACAATAACCAAAACTTGATAGTTTTTTATTTTATTTTTGGTCAGACACATGAGGGCAGGGGCGGAGCTACGTTATCAACATTTGATCAACTTTTGATCAACTCTACATATGATGGCATATTAAGAGACTTAACTTTATTTAAAGTTAATACATTTGCCCCCTAATTTTTTGAGAATTAATAGTGATCCAAGTCTTTTTTTTAGTTTAAACAACTTAGTATCTCACTACCTCATCGCCCGCTTGAAACAAATATTTTATTTTTGAATCGAGGAAAATAAATGTGAAAAGTTATCCCTTATCCTTTTTCTTTAAGTAAGTAGCTTAAAATAATCACTTATGCCCTTTTTTTGAGAGTTAAAAGTTATTTATAAATCATATTTTAAACAAAATTTTATTTTGTAGTTTCATATAATAATTTATTCTTGATTCTAAAACACTTTGCCATGCTTGAACTTGANGTGATGTCATGTGAGGTATATATGAGCTATATGTATAGAAGGAACAAAGATTAATAGGTCTTTGTTCACCTATGATCTAATATGAAAAATGTTATGTACTTTGTGTTCCTCGGTCTCTCTCTCTCTCTCACACACACACATTGTGGGCCCATAACGTACTGGTTTGATTTTTGATCAAGTATGTGAAAGTATTATAATTATCAGGACGACTATAAAATTCAAACGCGAGACTTATAATTGATACATGTGAAATTATTAACTCAATGACTTGATTATTTTTACAAGTAGCTGCTGGANAAGGAGGAGAGAGAGAGAGAGAGAGAATCTGTTAGTAAGATTTGATGTTGTCATTTCCCTTATCTCATTTGTCTTTTTTGTTTTCTACGGAAAATTAAAGTACGCTCAATTTGAAATAGATTTTCCTTTCCATTTACTGCGTCCTATCCGCGTTAGCACCACCATACCTTTGTCATTTTCTGTCCCTCCACTGCTCGCCTCTTTCTTCCGTTGTCGTTTGGTCCTTGGTGTTTGCCAGTGAGTGACTTTCGGGTTCTTTTATTGTCTCCCCCGGAACATAATCCGTTTTTTTGATGATGATATTTGAGGTTCGTATCGTCTCTATGCCCTATTTTTTTTTAATTTCGTATCAAAAATATTTATAATCTGAGCTGTTTAATTCTGAGGTGGCCCCACCAGAGTTAGCTAGACGAGGTGAGGAGATGATTGAATTGTGTAATTTTTTAATCACGTTTATTTTTAAAAATGGTAATTGGGAGATTTTGACCAAAAAAAAAAACTAATAATAAGGATATTGGTGAAATATCTCAACAAATTCTCTCACGTAGATTCCTCTCCCCCTCTCTCTCTCTCTCACACACACACATAAATCTCAATAAAAGATCTCAAATCTACTTCCAATTTCAATAAATATACATATACATATACATATATTTATATATATAAATAAATACATATAGACAAAGACAATTAATTGGTGATAAAATAATGGTTATATTATGTCACTATGGTTGTCACTGTATCACTATGTGGTTGTGTTTATGGACGGGGCCAAGAATTTTGTATAGGATAGACATTTTAATTACATACTCTAATATTTTTTCCTCCTAATCAATTACACTATATAATAAATTTATATTTATTATATCATATTTGATACATGAAGTCCATTTAACATAAAAAAAAATATCAAAAAATAATGTATATTGTATATGTATAAAAAAAAATATCACAATTGAAAAAAAATGACCAATTATCATTGAAATATTAGCATAATAAAACTACTAAACTAAAATACATAGTAAAAAAATTAGAAAATCGATTGACACATAGTAAATACTATAATTAATACTCGAATAAAAATAAAGATGATTTATTATAAATAAAAAAAGTTAAATGAATATCAATTACAAGAACTTTCACTTGTAAAAATTTATAAATAGTAAAATTAAGGTAATCCGGAGAAAGTCTTAATACAAAAAAAAATATTAAATAATTAAAATAAGAAAATTATAGGGTGGGTATAAGTAAAAAATATATATATAGTTTTTAAAATATGTAAATATAAATATACAAATAATATTTAAAAAAATTAAGGGTGGGGATGCAGCCCCGACAATGGTTCTGTCATTGTCATTGTGGTTGTATCACTATATAAAATTGAGACGAAATAAAAAGAAAAAAAATAGAAATTTATGGAAGAGAGAGAGGGACGGTAGAGAAATGATGAGAGAGAAAAAAAGATATAATAATTGACAAAAAAGAGAGATGGACGAAACTCATAAATGTTCTAATTAAGATAAAAGGTATTCTTGTGATTAAAAGTCTTAAAAATTACAACTTAGAGCAACCCACCTCATTTATTTTACATGCATGTACTTAAAGTCTTAAAGAATACATGAAAAAAAAATGGTTAGATTACTAGATATAGATATAGATATAAATATAAAAAGTCCTAAATAATAATGGGCCACTTTTCTAAGCATAGTACTCCAAGTAAATGAATATTAGTAGATATTAATGCATTAGCCTATAACCCTTTATTCTTCTTCGATATATCACCTTTACTGTTATATTTAATAGTCATTATGTATGGAGGTCTACAAAATAATGTCTTGAGTACATTAAAAAATACAAGTTGAAAAGTTCTAGTATTCTATATTTTCTTGCTCTTTATAGTCTCTATATTACTTTATTTTATAACATCCGAATACATATACTTTCTCAAACTTTATCCCATGTTTGGTTGTATGTTAAAGTATTTGCAGTAGGTCCCAACAAAAAACATAATTGCAGTTTTTAACAAAACATTAATGAACCATAATAACCCATTTATGGGTACTATATTTATATCTAAGTGTGTGTTGAGGAGTAATAGTGTTCATTTAATTACTATATTCTATTGGGAGCCTATATAGCAATACCACCTATTAGGTGGTATGAGATAAGCTCTTCTACATGAATTTCAGGCACTGTAGCATGCGGGTCAAGTGTGGATTGGGATTTTAATCCCATTAATAATCCCTCGTGTAAAAAACATAATAAACAAGTATAAGCAAGGCTAGGTCCTATTTATCTCTATCACTCACCTTAATACCACCCTAATACCAAAAGGAAGCATGCTTGCAGTCCACTTAGTCAACTTTAAGCTCAAGGGAAGTTTCTTTCTTCATTAGAAATACAAAGAACTGGATTAGTCTATGGTATCTGCGAAAGAAATTTTATACGGGTCTCATTTTTTTGTTGGATTAATCTGTAATCAATAATTGTGAAAATTATAAAATAATAAAATAATTTTATACGGGTCTCATTTTTATTAGACAAAAAAGTGAATAAATGATATCAAAAAGTACTTTTAGATACTAGAGTACTTATAAATCTATAATATAAAATAAGACATATTTTAATAAGTCATTCGACGGTCTCGAACAGACTCATCCAACGATTATAAACATCTCTCTCAAAATTATTCATATCATACCGTACCTTCAAATATGAATTACCCATAATAGCTAATAAAGCTTGCAGATTTTTATGCACTTGGAAAGTGAAGCATTGGGATCTTTGCTAACGATTCTCTATCCGCGTGAAAAAGTCTTAATCCTATTTGGTGTCATTATCCCCATCAACTTTGGGAGGTTTCATGGGGTTAGATTGGTGACTTCAAGGTATTTATTGACTCCCCTTGACCCTTACCCTTTGGGTCAGTCTAGAAAATTTTCATTCTAATGCCAGAAAACGGGTCGCATTGAGTCATTTTTGAAAAAGATCCATTTGTATTCTTCTTAAATATTAAATTGGCGGAGTCGGCAATTGATTAGAGGGCACAAGTCCCCTCTGAAATTTTTAAAATTTTTTTATGTATGTTTCAAATAGTTTTTGAATTGGATACTATCGTAACTTATTTGAATTGATTTGTCATTTTATTGTTGGCAAGTCATGTTATTTTTTTGAGTTCCTGTTAAGAATAAGTCAATCATAATCTATTAATTTTATATCGATTTCAAATTGTGTTATTCTGTTCAAAATTAACATTCTTAATTCGAGCTACTATCAATTGAATTTTCTCTCTTTTGCTCCGAGTAAAAAAGGTACTATCAG